ACCCCAGGACAGTCCCCGAATTATGTGTTTTGCTACAATAGGATCAGGATTGAGGCCACAGGTCCAGGTGCTGTAGGAGGCCCTGCCCTCTCTCCCCTCATGCACTTTTCTTTACAAGAAGGGCTCAAAACTCAGCACGTTAATGTGAGAGCTCCTCCGTGGAGATGGCTCTCTTTCAGGGTGTGGCTGGGGAGGAAAGGGGTTGTCCAGCCCCAGTAAAGCAGGTTACCTCACTCAAGATGATCCACACAGGAGAGTCGGTCTGGATGGAGAGCCGGATGGCTTCGAGAGGCCCAAAGGAAGGGTCCACTTCTCCTTCTGCAACACCCTTCAAAAAGGTGCCTGGCAGAGGAAAGCAGACAGTTCTGAGGAGGGGGGAAATCACTCGAGCACTGAGCTGAACTCAGCAGGCAGATTCGGAAGCAGCCAGCCTTGACAAAGCCCCCCACGCGAAGCAGGGGCTCTTAGCTGTTACTTCAAAGCAAGCCCACAGGCCTCTAATTCAGCCAGTCATGCAAGCTGCAGCCTTTCGGCAGTACCTGCCGTTGGAGATGAGACCTGAGTGTGAATAGTTGCCTAGGCACCTACCACCAAACTAGCTGACTACTGGAGTGTGCTTGCTCCAATGCAAGATCTAGGGCACCGTGATGTCAAATACAAGTCACTTCTGAAGCAAGAATGTCCTTGTGAGCTGTGTACATCACAACCATGGAGCCTGGGGAATGAAGCCTTGACTTTTGGGGCCCAGATGGTCGGTAGATGGCAGCCTTGCACAGGAGAAACATTTAGTGCAGGTCTTTCTCAAGCCTTCTGAGACACTGAGGATCTTGAGCAGAAAAGGAGTGAGGCAGTGGGCTATATTTAGCCAGTGAATCCTCCCAAGGTGGTTTATATGATCGCAAAGGGCAAGAGTCCAAAAGGCAGTGCAAGACTTCATCTGCAGCACTGGCTTCCCTGAGCTGCCAGCGGGGCATAACACACAAACCAAAACAGCTTCTTGACCTTAAGGCATGGTGAAGCCAGAGTCCCGCTGGAGAACTTCTTCAGTGCTGCAACTGCCCTGCTTGGTGCGTCTGAGCTCCAGTCAGCCCAACGTACACAAGTTCCCCCCATCAGGTGCGTTTTAGGGCAGAACCGGATTGAGTTCCCTGCTCGAGTCTCGTGTCATTTTTCTGCCTTGCACAGCTCCCTCCGGAAATGCCCAGCAAGGAAGCCCTCGAGCCTTGTGGCATCAGCAATCCTAGCCTGAAGATCTGCTAATAGTTCCTGCTGCAGCTTCTGAGAGGAAACTGGCTGGAAGTTCATGTAGACCAGACCGTGACAGTGTTTTCCATCATGGAAAACCAACTTTGTTCCTCTCCTCTAGGCCCGTTCAGCTTCCCTCTCCCTCCCCAGGAATCGCACTTAATCGGTGTGCATTAGCACATGTAAACACTGAATAATTTATAGAAAAAGATCAGAAATCCAAAAACTGAAATCCTCTGAGGACCAGCGTGAAGTACCAGTTAGGAAGGGAAGAATGTAATGCACAGATACAAATCTCGAGTTAGGCAGCAATAAGGTGGTGGAGGTTATAGCAGCTCGCAGTACAAGCTCATGTTGCAAAAAGGCAAATGTCAGCTTGGAGGGTTGTATGCAAGATGTCGGAGACGATTATTCTGTTCTACTTGGCGCTAGCGAGGCCACAGCCAGAGCACAGGGTCCACTTGTGGACATCACACTAGGAAAGTTGTAGGCAAACTGGAGAGAGATTCCAGAGAGCAGGAGAGAGAGGAGGAGGTTTGGGAAACCACGACCTAGGTGGAAAAGCTGACAGAGCTGGGTTCCTTGGCCTAGAAACGAGAAGACTTCACTGTGTAAGTGGCCGTTACTGCAAGGAGGGTGATGGTTCTCGGGGCGGGACGAGATGCAGCTGGTTGGCACTGCAGTCAGGGAGGTTGGAAGTATGATATTAAGAACAACTTATAGACTAGGGATGTTGCTAAGCCCATGGAGCTTGGGGAATCCTCTTCACCGGGTGGTTTTAAGGACAGGTTGAAAGAACACTGGTCGGAACAGCCCAAGGGCACAAGCCCAGCCTCAGAGCAGGGACGTGGACTTGCTGACCTCGAGCTCCTGCCTGGCTCTCTGCTTCTACGGAAAGCAGCTGGGCACAAGGGAAGCTAGTAATTAAAACCCATTCAAGTGCTGACTCATGGAGAGAAAAACAGGCCTAACTGCTCTGAACGACCAACTTCCAATCTCATTTCCAGACAAATCGATTCAGAGTAAGTTTTTTTTTCCTTTTAAAACAGAAATAATGCACCACATATGTTGATCTTCAAACAAATAAAGACCATTATCGGGAAACAGCAGGCCATCTTTTGCCTTGAACCAGTAATTTACCTATCTGTATGTAGCCGTCTGATGTCCTGTGGTACTTGAATGCTGTACCTCTTCCCTCCTGCAGGGCTTCCTTATCTGACTGGAGACTCTGTATGGGGAAGAGACAATCTCTGCAGAAAGCCAGTGGCAGGAATTTTGGATGCTTGCTGTGAGTGCAGCTTTAATAACCAAGACCTTACAGCGAACAGCATTTAAACGTTCAAAGGGAAATACTACCAGGGTATGTGAACTTGTCAGAAGGTCTTCACTTTCAAGCACAAAATCTATTAAAATATATGCAGTGGGTATTAGACCTGATGTTTCTCTCCCGCCATGGACTTGTGTGTCAAGTAGAGAAGGACCAAAGCAGCAGTGCTTGGATCAGGCTGAGGCCTAAATCCGAGCTAGCATCTAGGATCTAGGTTCAGATTAGACCATACAGAACTCATGGGTTCTTCTCGTGAGATTCTGTCCCAGAACAGGAGAAGACCGGCAAGACCATCAGCGAGATCCCGTAACAAGAACTGCTGCACTGAGGGTGGGTGGGAAATGGGGCCATCCCTCCCTCTGACATCTCCAGACCCAGAACTGTGGGAGCACCAGAACGCGGGTTTTGCCCCGCTCTCTCCAACCTCGTGGCTGTTGGGGGGGGAAGCCACAGAGCAGCCAGCCAGAGAAGCAGCAATTCTCCAACCACTCAGCCAAGGCTCAGCAGCTTTGCCCTGTAAACTCCAATCCCAGTCCTCGCCATCTCCTCGCTGCAGCTTCACTCCGGACCCCTTCCTCTTACCCTCCCTCCTTCCTTTCCCTTTTCTTCTATTAAGCTGATATCCTCCTATCTAGCCCCCGCCCCAAATCACAGCGCTCACAGGACATTTGTTACCATCCACATGTTTGCTCTACTTGTTCTACACCTTCCTGCAATGGGTCTGCCTTGTGCCTAGCTCGACTCCAAGCGCTTTGGGCAAGGACTTATCCCTTCATCTGTGCTTGCGCACTGTGGGACCCCAGGCTCGGCTGGCCTCCAGCACTCATCGTATACACGGCAAATGGGACAGACACTAGCACAGCCACAAAATGTCACATCCCGTAGGCCACCTGCTTCACTACACATTGTCCTTGGCTTTCAATGGTCCTCCCTCCTGCAACCCGCTCTTCTCCCCCCTCTGCAACTTACATCGAACGGCAAAACCTCCACGGTTGTGTTGAAGAGTTTGTCTTCTGGGTGCTCGATGTTGCCACTGCGGAAGAAGAACCTGTAACAGAGACCAGGGCCATTAGAAGGCGAGTGTGGACTGAGAGGAGGGCCTTGTGTCTCCTGCTAAGAATGAACTGCCAACTATAAGACCCTGTAGGTAGCTTTACCTCCTAGGAAAGCCCTGTGGTGCTGAGACTGGGAAACTGAGCTAGCTCTGCTTGGCAACAGTCGATTATCAGTGTACAGTGGTGTGAATTAAGGGATGTACTATCCTCCTCTAGGTAAAAGGAGTTGTTATCCTCTCTTAGAGAGTCAAAGGATAGCAAGTTCCACATGAAGGAATATAAACTGGACTCAGAAAGAAACAGCCCACACCCCCAAGATAAAATCAGGGTGCTACAGGCAGGGAGAACAGGAAAAGGAACAGGAAAAGAAAAGGTGCCAGGCCTTGTACCCCACCCCCCCAGAGCACACTGGCCTTTCAATGCGGAGAGGTTTGAAGAATCTGAATCGGATGAAGTCTCCGGCCGCAGGGGTGAAAGCCCAGAAGAAGTCCTCTCGCAGGTAGGCCTTCTCCAGGGTGAAATGCTGGTAGGTTTTCAGACTGGTGCTCACCTCTGCCGGAGGGTTGACATGCTCTTTCCGCAGGGCTTGCTTTCCAAAATCTTTGTCCTTCACGCACATGCAGCAGAGCAGGGGAAAAAAAAAAAAGTTGCAGGTTGGTTTTCACTGAATGAGACACAGGGCTCCAGGCTTTGGGGGAAACAGATGCAAGGCCCCAGTGTCTCAGTGCTAAAGCAGGAGTATTTTGCATTTTCCACCATGACAGTAGACGTGGTGGAACCTAGTTTGCAAAGGGGGCTGGGGACAGCGCTCTGCTTCCTTGAGGGAGTGGATCCGCAGGAGCACAGGGCTTCAGGGGACCATGATCAGAGGTAAGTAACCCCTCTGCACATGCAGGAGCACCTCAGAACTGCAGGCACTGACCAAGGACCCAGTCTGCAAGGTACCGCATAAACACCACAAAGCTGGTCCTGCCCCAAGGACCATGCAGCCTAAGGACAGCTTCGTCCCTGGTTACAGAACCCCACAGTCTCACCCAGCTATATGGCACGGGTTAGAGCCATGACCTAACACCCTGTGCACTCCCTGCATCCTCATTACATAACACGTGAGGAACGGGACTTTTTTGGCATCTGTGGTTGGATTCTGTCAATATTTAAATGATATAAAAACCCACCACCTGATTCACACTCTACAGCAGCAACCCATAACCCACCCAGCACAAACACCAGAAATCAGATGCAATGGCAGCTGGGACCAGCAAGGAGCAGCCAGGCAGTGCCAGGGCACCCCAGGCTCCGTGTTGGATGCTAAGTGCCTCCAGCCTCTGGAGAAAGTGGCTGCAGCTGTCACCCTCGCTGCTGGAAATGCCCTGAAAGAATGAAACTGGAGGAGTGAAGGAAAGCAAACGCAACGGAGCCTGCTCATGAACTGGCACCACACCAGCAACCAAACAAGCAGAGGGATTTTTTACATGTTGAGGAAGTAGTGTGATGCCCTGGTGTCAGGTACCCACTTTTAGTTTCTGTATCTTCCCAGCCAAGGAGGAGTGGGTTCCCACATGCTGGAAGAGCGAGGGCTTGAAGCGAATCCTCAAGTTGGCTTTCTGTCTGTCGCAATGTTTCTGGAAGGAGAAAGCACCGTGAGACAACTGGGCAGTGCCCTCATGGTCCAAAGGGGCACGGCAGAAGGAAGGACCGGGACAGATGAGAAAGGAGGGTTGAGGGAGAGACACGATATCCAGCCCTCAGGACAGCAACCTTTCCCTTCCATTTTGACTTTGATTTGGAACCAAGGCGAGCTTTTACTGCCAGCTTTCCAAGGGCAACAGTGGGCACATGCACTCCTTCATGCCAAGTCCTTCCGTCCCCCCAACCCAACGTGCCAGTGCCTATTTTGACATCTTCCCCAATCAGCAAACTTCCCCGTTTGCTCAGTTTTTAATGCCCAGGGAGGCCACTTGATTTTCTATTTAGTTTGCCCAGGAAAGCTCGTCTCTGGATCTCTCCCAACAGCAGGACTCAGCTGGTTTGGGCTCCCGAACCCAGTAAAGATACTGTTCTCACCCCCGCCCCCCAGGTCAGGTGGGGTAACTGCTGTAGGAGCCTTTCTAGCCTGCTTGTTATGAAAGCCATCTGCATATGGCTCTGGCTCTGGCACGGGCACTGTGGTCTGGCCCAATTTCAAGTTCATCATGACACAGGATGGGGGGAAGTTCAGCTCTAATCTGAATGATCGTTATTAGGGTTGGGAGAGAGCCGGGGAGGGACAAAGGGAAAAACCAGGCAACAAATAAACAGTGCAAAGGTGGAGCAGAGGGGAAACCTTATCCAGGGACTGGAGGGAGGAGATGCTGAGGGAAGACACAGCCTGTTACACACAGGATGCGACTGCCAGCTGCTGGGCAGGGTCTAACCCCAGGCACTGCATTGGTATCTCTTTAGCCAGACAAGCATTTACCTTCCTTTAAATCAGATTTCCTCTGGGAGATTGGGAACAGGACACAGACACAGGGTTAAATCCCATGGAAGATAAAGGGATAAAGATGCAGGATTTTGGTGCAACCGTTCCAGGAGGTTGGTGCACCCTGCTGCAGCAAGGGCCCCTCTCCGCACGCAGCCCCCGCACCACACAGACTCACAACAGAAATGAGCTCCATGGAGCCCCACCGCAGCAGCCAGACTCTCCTGGCCCAGTCCCACAAGCTACCTGTGCCCCTAGCCCGCAGACATGTTGGGCACAGTCCCCGCAGCAGGCTGTGCTGGAACTAATCCCTTAATCCCAGCTCTCATCACATTAGAAAATTAAAACTGGCTATGCTAATGGGAAGCTCCCTGAACACTGCCGGCAAAGCTGCCAAGCCCATCCCACTGCTGTAGATGGGAGCAAGGGGGAACAGGGCATCAAGCCAGGGTCCTCTGCCCCTTCACTTGCTGCGTTAGGGATGGGTCTAAAGGCAACGACACAAGGAGGGCAGCTCCACTGGCAGCAGAGGGCTTCACTCTGAGCACATGGCTTGAACCCAGGTGAAGCTAGAATTAGGTCTCAGATGCAGAAGCGCAGTGGCTCCCCAGAGCTGGGACAGAATGGGTCAGACAGGCCTCCAATCAAGCAGGCAAATCCCAGCAGCTGCCAGGACTGGAGGATTTAGAAGCGGAGCCCAGTTTAGACAGGCACTGTGCAAAGTCAGTCACGCAAACAGTGGGGAGAAAGAGCCAGAAACCCTCCTAGAACTAGGGGATATGCTCCTAATAATAAGGCAGCGATGTAGAGATTGGCAGCATCCCCTGGGAAAGCAGCTGGCAGGCAGGAGGGCAGGCGTTTGCTGGCTGCACGTGGCAAACGGCTTTAGGACATTGGTCACCTTCGCAGGGGAAAAACTCCAGCCACATTCCTCCCCCCTACAGCAATGGATGCACAAAGCAACCCCCTGCCTAGCCCAGTTCAGGAGAGGGCAGGAGGGGTCTGCCATGTGTGCCTGGGCGTGCCAGGACCAAAGCACTTGAAGAGTGCACAGCACTGCTCCGAAGCAGAGATGTGTCCCCTTCCTCAGGAGGGCTCTGATTATTGAGCTCTGGTTTTAAATACATCTCATACTTGTTCCTGCCACCCTCCTCCAATACCCTCCCCTGCCTCACAGCAAGTCCCACTTTGCACAGATGCAGACACACTACTTCCACCAGCATCTGCAAAGTGCCAGGCACGTGCATAGTGCACAGCCAACCACAAACATCTCAGCAGCCACAAGGCAGCGGTAAGGAACCTCCCCACCCCACCTGGGGGCTGCCGTGAGACCCCTGCTGCTCTGGTCCGGTTGCAACACGCTGTCTGCATCAGCAGGTCACGGCAGATTTATATTTAGGTCATTGTGGGGGAGCTGTCAGGTCAGCCTGCGTGGGCGGTCAGGGCAGCCCTCAGATACGCTGTGTTAGAAAAGGGAACCCACAACCCATGGCAATGAAAGCTAAAAGCCTGGGCTTGGGAAGCATGGTGGGGCTTCCCCTTGGGGCTCCAATCAAGCAAGGAGCTGCTGTCAGTTCCTCTTAGCAGCAGATACATATGCCCCCTATGAACAATAATTCTCCCACAAGCCACAGAGGGATGTGGACACTTGAAGGATTCCCAGGAAGCAACATGCTCCTCTGGATGGCAACAAGCTGAATTCCTTGAGGTTTCTTTCTATACAAGGTCCCTAGGGATTTCCCTCACCTGGCCTGCAGCTTTGCTGTATTAACAGAGGCTCAGCACAAATGGCATCACAGTCACTGGCTCTCCTGGAAGACCTCTCCATAGCGAGTGCTGGAAGCTGTGCGCCTGCAAGGGGAGCAGAGACTACCAGCTGCTCTCTGGGGACTGTGTACTTACTGCATCTTTCTCTGGGTTGCAGACTTTGACCCAGAGGATGTGGTCCAGGAGCCAGTCGATGGGCTTGTCCTTGTAGAACATGAGAATGAACTCTACAATCAAGCTGAGGTCCAGTGACTTGAACATCTTCCCTGCAAGCACGAGGGTGGAGAATAAGCAGACATGAGATAAAACCAGCATGACTGAGACGGAAGAAGGCACAAGCTCCAAGGGGAAGGGAACTGCTCTCTCCCCTCGCAGCTCTGGTGGATGTGAGCGACCAGCCCACACAATGTCTGTTGATGGACCAGCACCACTGACGCTGCCAGTATAGCTCTGGAGCGGGTTAGTACCACGCCTTGTGACCAGTTCAAAGCATGAATCACCCCCCGCAGCAGCAGAGAGGTGAAAACATGCACAGCTCCAGGAGAGGTAGTTTCCTGGCTCAAGAGCTCTTAGGGACTCAAAGCCCCTTTAAGTGAATCTAACCAGCAGAACAGGCAGAGCCACTTTCATAGCTAAGCAGGGCTGCTCCTCAAACAGCTCCAAGTGGATGCAAACTTACCCCTGCCCGTGAACCACCCACCACAAGCAGGCACGTCCGTCCCCCTGGCCCCCCACACATGCAAGTAGAATCTCATAAGAAGCCTGGCCTCGTTAGCCGAACGCATCAATAAAACATTACACCACATCAAAGTCAGTGGGAAATTAGAGATGGCTACTGTCGCTATGTTCTGTTTTATCTGATCTGTGTCAACCAGAAAGGTGACTGACACGCAGGCTTTCGTCCCGTCTCTGTAACCAGGTCGGTGCCAGAAGACACAGGACTGAAAGCACGTATGGTACTTTCTTCCCTGGGCAGCTGAAAGGGTCGGCGCAAGAACTGGAACAGGCCACGCAACAGTAGCTCAACTGAGCATTGGGCAGCTCGCTCAAGCAAAGGAGTCACAGAGCTACTGGGGCTACACTAGGCTCCAGCAGGATGTGGGGGAAGGGGCAGAGTCAGTTACCAATAAACCCGAGCTGGGAGAACTCCAGGATCATCCACTCCTCAGACGGCTGCTGCAGAGCAAAGTTCTTCATTGTGCTGAGATAGTTTGGTTTGGCCACAATGTCATCCTCCAGCTGCAAGAGAAGAAGCAGACTCAGTGCCTGCCCCGTGCACAGAGTCTCTCTGCTGCAAAACCCTCAGCAGCGCAGGACAGATGAAGGCCTTGGCCACGGCAGAGGCTTTTTGGGACCATGCACTACGCAGGCTCTTCACCTCCAGCTCCAGAGGTGCAGGGAACACAGGCTCCCACGCACTGAATCCCTGTGGGGCCAGCTGGGTTGGCTGAAGTGCAATGGAAACAACTATGCTCGTCAAGCTGCAGTTTCTCCCCCAGAATGCACAGCATTGTGCCCGCATCGGTGGGAGGGGCTGCTGCTTCTCCAGCCATCGGAGCAGACTTCGCTGTGAGACTGGGCTGCACTGTGGCACCAGAAGCAGACAGATGCTGAAGCAAGTCAGCACTGGGGGGGCCCCTAACATGCTGCCCATATTGTAGAGCTTGTGTGCCTTGTTTCCATAGGAACGTGGGCTGGAACGGACCTCCAGGGTCACTCCGTCCAGTCCCCAAGTATCCAAGGGAAACTGTATCATGTGACCATGGGAGCCGGCCCATTAGCCTGCAATAGGTTAATCTAAGGGTGCGGTGTTTACACAGAGCAGCCGACTGCAGGAGACATGCAGCGGAGTTCCCACATCAGACCTGAGAGGGCTGGATGCGAGGGGGACAGTGCTTCCAAAAGCCAGACTTGCTGGAAGACTATCCAGGTTGGAAACAAATCCAACAGTATCTCACACAGCCTCTCCCTCTTCCCCCTTCACAGAGCCCGCTTGGGTTGTGTTGCACAAAACACACACGTTCTCTTTCCGCCTCTCAGGGCTACGTGTCTTGGGAGTTCACACGTTCACTCCCAGCCAAACCCACCTGCACGTAGTAGATGCCTTTGGACTGTGCATACATCATTAGAAAGCAGTAGTCGAGGTTCTGTTTAGTTCTCCACCTGCAACAAAGGCAAAGGGGATGAACACACTGGTATGTATGGGGATGCCTTTGTCTCGCTCCCAGCCAGAAGATGTTTAGTGCGGGAAGGCAACACTAAGCACTGTTACTAGAGGAGCCGAGGGGATGAAGGAAGCCTGTTCCTTATGAACGATTTAACTGGGAAGTAAGAGGCCTCTCTCAAATAAACATCATGTGGGTTAAAAGCTTTGTCCCAGTTTGACATGTGGAGCACAGACATGGGAAACGTGGCAGGGCAAGTCCAGCCGCACAAAGCTGACGATGAGTGTTCACCCTGCCGCATGTCTTTAGTTCTCATGTAACGCGAGTTGAAGGGCCTGGCATAAATCCACAAGAGGGATTTTTTATCTTGTGCGTCTGGAGACTCTGACTGCCAGTGTTTTTTATTCAGGTCTGTCTGGACACCTGCATTACCTGACTCTCTCCTTAGGATCCCCAAACGATTCCCGCAAGCGGGAGAAATCAGGGTAGAAGTGTGGCGACGGGGAAATGACTTCCAGGAGACCAGAGTGTATTTCCTTGGGAAACCTGCAGAAGAGAGGCAGAAGTAATCAAGGACTTGATGATGCTGATTCACAGACTGGAGTCACTGGGCACACACTGAGCTGCAAATCCTGACAATTTAAAACGTCCTAGACCAAACCTTCATTGTAGCTGATGCCCTCACAGGCCTGGCTCTAACCCAAAAACACCAGCAGGGCATTTGTCACCAAGTACGAAGTCCATTCTCCCCCTGATGTTTTCTAATAGCCCCACAACAGTTGAAGTCTATGCCTTTCGCTGCCTCTCTCTTTCTCCATCATCTCCATCCACGCTCATTGGCAATGGCAGACTGCTCAAGGATGTAGGGTTCCTCACACAGATTCTCTGCTTAAAGAGAGCAACCCACCAGCACTGTGCGCTGAACACCCTGAATAGCAGCAGGAGGAACGGTGCTGGCCATCCCAAGGAAATCCAACCTTTGTTCCCTCGCGGACATGTGCTGGTGCTGGAGGGGTAACCGGTTGTGGCGGAGGGAAGGGTGGGGGTGCTATTTGCGGGCGGGAGCATCTTAACTTGCACTGAGTGCACCAGGAGGCTTTGCAAAGGTTTACCACCTAAAAGGAGACATGGCAAAGCCCCAGCACATGGTTTAAAGAAGGCCACTTACAGAGCCCTCCACTCTGCCCAACGGTTCCCCACGCAGCAGTAATGCAGTCGAGTGGGGGCCGGCCAGCTGCCACATCAGAGGTGCATTACAAGCTCCTCACTCTACACTAAGCTGCCCCCAGCCAGGTGAGCAAGTCACGCTGAGGGTCTGTCAACATCCGAGGCGTTGACAGAGCACCATTCTGCAAACGTCACCTTGCAGATGCTACTTTGTTCAGATCTGGTATCAGAACCGTCATAGCTGTTTTGAGAGGAATTCTTCCTGGTTTCTAACACTGGCTGATTTCTCATCTTTCCAAACAAACCTCCCGAAGAAGCGTGGGTTCCCAGCCACACGGCTTGGAACTGGTGGGGTCCATTTGAAAAGACACCCCACGTGTACTCTGAAAAAATTGTACCCATTACCACGGCAAACAGCATCCAGATATTACTGCAAACCAAGGTACATTAGGGAGACAAGTCTCTTCCACGCATGGCACATGTTGACAACTTGCTAACTACACTCAGCCTCATGGTTTAACCTGCGCAGTCAGTTCCTGTTCTGTGTACGACAGTGTTCACCCAGCACAGAGGACGGGAAAAGCAGCAGACGGTATCCCTGGCAGAAAGACTCCCAGAAATAACTTTTAGCTCATTTTTTAAAATCGAATAAGATTCCCAGGCGCCGGCTGGGGTCCTTTCCAGTCACCTTTCCTCAGCAGGAGCTGAAATGCTGCTTCGCACCACAGATGCCACTATGTCGATGAAGCAGCAATTGCTTTTCACCAAGCAATGCAAGCCGAAACTGTCATGTCTCCAGTCCCCAGCTGAATTTGAGAGGGAGATAATTTAAGCAAGTGTGCAGGGAGGGGGAAGGACTAATCAAATCACTAAGTTGATTAAAGTTTCAAGGCCTTCATGGAAGGGCACTTTCTTCAGCTGTGCCTGGAAATTTCATCAGGGTGCATGAGACAATCAGCCCATTATCTCCTGATCACTGTAGTCTGCTGCCAAGAGCAGAAGGGTGGATCTGCTGTTTTTTTTTGCACAACAGGATGAAGGGCTCCATTTGAGCTCCTTTGCAAGTGCACTAGGAACACAATGCTTTTCCATTTTTCTATTATTGGAAGCAGGCCCCACCCGCATCACTGGCACAGGGACTGAATTGAGCCGTGAGGACACACTGCCCTTTGCAAAGTCTTGTCCTTAAGGTTACTCTGATCCTTTGGAAACATGCAGACACAAGAGCTGGACTGGATTCAGAGAGCCTCTGCTGTAACAATCTTTTTCTTTTCCCTCTTTGAGCTCTGATACTGTTATTGCTTGAACCACCTCACTATTAATTAACGCATCAGCCTTACCCCTAACATTAAAAAACCCCCATTGAAATAGCCATGAAGCTGCAACAGTCACTAGGCTTGTCGGGCAGAAATTAACAGTTACACCGATGTGGAATTGCATCGAGGCTGGAAACGCAGTGCCAGAGGGTGAAAACAACCACACCTGCAGCATGGAAGAGACAGACTAGCTTCAGCAGAGCCAGGGAAATGACCTCTGCTACTGTCCTGGCTTGCTCTGGTTTTACATCAGACATGCTTATCATGCTGACCAACGAGTCCAACTCAGTGAGCAGGAGGGTGCTGAACAGTGCAAAAATACAGGATTATTGTAAATCTAAATAGTCCATTTCCTCACAGCCCCACAGGACAGGAAGAGCAAATCAGCTAGCATGAGCACACATGTTAAGCACAAAGCAACCTACTGGACAGGATCAAGGAGAGGTGGAATTTATAATACATGTGCTGAATGTTGTGCCCAGCGTGATAATAAAGAGACAGTGAAGGAGCACCTGGGATTTAAGAAACAAAAACAAGGGACACCAAGGCATTTGTCCTCTCTAATACAGCTTTTCCCCCACGTTGCTAGATGCAGAGCCCACGTGAGTGTAGTGATTAGGAATTGCTTACAAGGTTTTGATGTTCTCTGCCACTCCGGTCGTATACTGCGCATCCGTCTGAAAAACAGAAAATGAACACGGTAAGGATACCAGGTTCTGAGAAACCATCACTTGTTTAAATGCCCGATTCAGATTCTCTGCCCAAGCCTGCACCTGACAAACTCTTTCTAGTCCCCCCAATATGTGCTGTCAGCATTTCCACGCTCCTTCTGTTGGTCTCTGTGCTTCACCCCACATCACCTTGGGCCTGAGACAGTCTTCTTATACTGGCAGCTTCTTCACATTCCTTCTGTTTGGCCACTGTTAATTCATCCCATTAGGGAAGCTGGAACGCTGTGTACCTTCTCAATGCGGTCTCCCTGCACTTTTGCATTCAACTGTCATTGAGGTTGCCTGCTGAGACCAGGGACCACAGCCTTCTCTATTCTCTGTCCTACACTGAGCATACAGCAGGGGTTCAATTAAACAAACAGCCCCTGATGGAAGCAGAGTTCTACCCTCCTCACAGGCTTCCATATCTCACACATCCACAGGTGTGGGGCTCATTTCAGTTCCCATCTCCCAGAGTAACTGATCACGGGCAGCCTCAGATTTGAGCAGGGCATTCCTAGCAGTTCACAGGAAAAGGGTAACGACGCAGCATAACACCAGCTATTAAAAGAAATGAAAGTGAGGAACATAGAGATTCACGTAAGGGCCAGGAGAAAGGGAGATGGCAGGAAGGAGCTGGGTCTCCCACCCTCTCTTCCAGAATGGTGGAAACTGTAGTCATCCATCCCTGATAGCTTCACAGCTTATAGGACAGGGCTCTTAACTCCCTAACAGGGACTTGCAGAGATGGCCTCGAAGAAGGAAAGCCGATGACTTCTATCATCAGCACTATGTGCTGAACAATTGTTTGCAATGTCCTCCTCTGTCCTGGGCAGTGTCAGATTTGGCACCAGAAGGAAGTGAAGAGCGAGGCATCAGGGATGTGTTCCAGGAGCCAAGGCCAGCACTTTAACTGTAATAATGACAAGCAAGGCTTTTTCTGGAGAGAAAACTCCCCCCTTTCCAAGCAGTCCTCAGGGCCCTGGCAATGGATTGATTTCTCACTGTGGCACTGTCAGGGGCAGAGCTATGGAAAGGAAGGATGGGGGTCTTGGATTCTGGGAGCAAACGTTAACAACCAGGGAGAGCTCCCCTCCGCCACAATAACCGCCTCAGCACTTGGCACCTGCCACCGCACATCACATCTGCCCACACACGCCGGCCGGCTGTGCAAGGTAGGGCAGGACTGCAGTGCTCTCCCCTATCACAGCACAAGTCTAGGAGGACTCCCTATCCTACACACCTCTTGCTGGTCTCCAGCAGGGCCCTTAGCAGGGCGAGAGAACTCAGATCAGAGTTTGACGACATAAAGCAGGCTGCTTCCCTCAGCGACCCAGAGGAATTCACAGCTCTGAAAAGGTAGCTTGGTGCCAGAGCCGCAAGCTGTTAGATCTCACAGCCTCTGACACCTATTGAACTGGGAACTGCCTCTCAGTTTCCAAGATACTCTGGAACTTTTACTACAGGCAGCCATTAAAAAACCTTTCTGGACCTTTCCTCTTCGCTCCTAACGATTCATGGGCCTAAGACAGCGGGTGTACAAAGAACTGTGTTCTCCAGGTGGGTGCAGAACACCACAGGAGGAGCTGGCAATCATGCAGCTCCCTTTTCGCATGGCTCTCTTAGCACTTCATAGTTCAACATATCCTACAGTTAGTCACCCTGTCTTCCACTACTGCAACACCTAATATTACTGTAACTGAGACACAGAGGGAATTTTCTCTACTGCTGGCTCCTCCCCATTTGGAAGGAGTCTCTCACAGCTACGGGTGGGGAGAGACTATAGGAACACAGGCAAAGTTTGGCAGAAGAACTTGGGGCAAAGGTAGTACTCAAAACTTCGTCTAGACCAGGAACTGGCAACATTTTTGGAAAGCGTGCCAAAAACATTTGCAACCTTGACTCGGAAGATGTTGGCATGCCAGGGGTGGATGGTGGGGGAGCTGCGAGTGGCCTGATCCTTGCTCTGGAAGTATAGCCCAGGCCCCTTCTCTACTGTCCGTCCTGAAGTGCGTGAGCCTGGCTGGGGCTTTGAGGACCCCAGGGCTCCTGGCTGCCTGCTACAGCCAGCTCAGGCTCTGGGTAGGCCCCTACTGCCTGCCACAAAGCCCAGGCTGCTCGCAGCAGATGGCAGGGAGACTGCAGGTAGCTGCACTGGGGTCCGTGGAGCTCCAGCCTGGCTCACTGCTAACGGTGCATGCACGTGCACCTACCTCAAGGTGGATGGCAGGGAAGGGGCTGGGGCTGCACTGCCGCCACAGGGATCAGGCCCCTCACGGCTCCCTGGCTGTCCACCTGAGGCAAGCGTGCCAAGCAAAATGCCTTTGGGTGCCACACATTCTGGCATACATGCTGGGGGTTGCCAACAGAAAAATTAGTTCAAGTGGATTCTGCCCCTTTAAATCCTCACCAGATCCCTGCAAGGCCCATGTCGTAGATAAGCAAGTTACAGCGCAAGAGACGTTAAGTGATTGCTGGAAATCATAGCATGCCAATGGCCCAGCTGAGAATCAAACTCACTCCCAAGATGCATCCACTGATCCAGCCTCCCTCCCCCTCAGCACTTTGGTGGGAGCCATTATCTCTTGAAGAGTGCATTTTCCCTTGGTATACAATGCAAGCTACCGACCTGAAAGCAAAATGCTACTCAAAACATCAAATTGCTGATAAACAGGAAACTAAAACAGATATTTATCTTTGCTCTGCTCCCTGCAACGCACCGCTGAGACTTCCCATGCTCACTGGATTTCTGGAAATTAAGACAAATGCATTTCAGGCTTGAAAAAAATAATCCCATGGGGAAAGTGGAGGAGGAAAAAACCCACCATATAAAGCCATAGATAAAAGCAGCTCTCATGGATTACTGCACCAAGGCTTTTCAGCTTCTGGATTCGGGAACTAATTCTGGACTCCACATACCAGTGCCACAAAAAGTGCTAGTCTCTTCCCTGGACAAATGAGTTGGAGGTTGGAAGAAGGGTGTTAGCCACCTGACTGGCATGGCAGAGAAAATAAAGGAGTCTTGGAAGAGCAAGAGGAGAAATTCTCAGAGCATACGAGGGAGTGGCATTTGGCCTGCGCTGGTCAACAGCTGCTTAGCATTCTGGAAGAGCAAAGGTCAATCATCACAATTTAAATTAAAAAGATGGATGAGCATGCCAGACTGGCAGCTGTAACGCAATCGCCTACAAACATATTGACCCTCCACGGCCGAGCACGTCCAAGCATTGTTTCACATGAGAGATGGCTGCTGGCCCCTCCAGGATGTGCCCAACGATCCTTGTCGGACAGCCGCCCAAGGTTGGACTTATCTGCCTTGGTAAGCGGTAGACCTGGCTCTCAGCCATAGGAAGGCATCCTGCTGCTTTATGGATGCAGGCAGCATCCTGGCCTGGCCCCAAAGCCCTGGGGGGGGGGGGGGG